ATGTGGTCTTTTTCATCTGCCTTTTTCCATTTAGTAGAATGTTTTCAAGGTTCTTCCATGTTATTACGTGCCTTAGTACTTCAGTCCTTTTTAAGGCTAAGTAGTATAATGTATGGATTAGTCTAATGTATGGATAGACTACATTTTGTTTAGACATTTATCAGTCGATTGACACTTGGGTTTTTCCCACTTTGGAACTTTTATACAAATAATGCTGCTATGAACATAGGTGTACAATCTGATCATACATTTTCATTCTTCTTGAGTGAATTCCTGCATCTTCTGGGAATCCTGGAGTCCTGGTATGGCATTGTGGGTTAATGTGCTGGACTGCAAACTCGGTTTGAACTGCAGGGTCAGCAGTTCAAGCTCACCAGCTGCTCCTTGGAAACCCTATACAGGGTCGCTATGAGTCGGAACTGACTCAAACTGAACAACAACACTTAACAACAACAACAACAACAATGGTAATCCTATGTTTAACTTTTTAAGGAGCTGCCAAATTGTTTTTCAAAGCAGTCGCATTCCTACAAACAATATATGAGGGTTTTAATCTCTCCTCATCCTCACCAATACTTGTTGTCTAACTTTTTTATTGCAGCCATCTTGTTGTTGGTGGTGTTGTTAAGTGTCGTCAAGTCGGTTCTGACTCTTAGCTACCCTGTGTAGAGTTTCCAAGGAGCACATGGTGAATTTGAACCACCAACCTTGCGGTTCAAATCGACCTTGTGGTCTAGTCTTATCCTACAGTACCAAACCAGGACTTCTTAAAAATTGTTATTGTTGAGTGTTAAGAGTTCTTTATATTCTAAATACCAGTGGGTTTTTTTGTCAGATATATGATTTACAAATATTTTCTCCCATTGTGTAGGTTGTCTTTAAATTCTATTGATGGTATCCTATGAGACATAAAAGTTTTAAACTTTGATGACATCCAATTTATCAGTTTTTTTTTAAGTGTTATATCTAATAAAGCTTTGCTTAACTGAGGGTCATGAGGATTTACTCATTATTTTCTTTGAAGAGTGTTATAGTTTTAACTCTTACAGTTAGGACTGTGGTCCATTTTTAGTTGATTTTTTTGTATGTTGTGAGGAAGAAGTCCTAGTTTGCATTTTGTGTGGTTTTTTGTTTGTTTGTTTTGTTTTTGCATGTGCCTATCTAGTTGTCCCAGGGAGCACTAGACCACAAGGTCGATTTGAACTGCAAGGTCTGTAGTTCAAACTCACCCACTCCTTGCAAACCCTATACAGGTTGCTGTGAGTCAGAACAGACTCGATGGCACTTAACCACACCACCATCCTGTTGTTCCAGCACCACTGGTTGAAAAGACATTTTCCCATTGAGCGGTCTTTACAATCTTGTCATAAACCAATGGCTGTAACTGGGAAGATTGGGTTTCGAGTGGAATAAGACGGCACTTGGTAGCAGTAGGTTAGGGTGCGTTGATTGCTTCACCAGCCCCGACTCTTGGAGCACCTCTGTGAGCTGCATTTCTCTGCCTCAGTGGTATTTTGGTTCCTGGTATAGTGCATTCATATCAGGAGCATGGAATAAGACAAGTAGCCCCTGGACAGCTTAGGCAGTGGTGCCTCCCCAGCTCTCAGGACCCAATCCCAGGCATGTCCATTGAGCAGAGCCATGTGCCTGAGCTGACCTGAAGAAGAAAGCAGAAGAGTGGGAGGAGGTGTCTCCCTGACAGCAGATGAAGGAACAAAGTTGGTCCTGTGACCTTGGGAGTCCCAAGGAAGCCCCTAAAGGAAAGGCCTCCTCCCTTAGTGACCTGGTGACTAACACTCACCACCAGCAGCATCCGCAGCCTGAGCTGAAAACTGAAAGATACCCCTGTGATCCCCAGCACCCTAAATCCTAAATCCTATGAGTTTCTCCTTCCTGCAAGGAGGCTCAAAGATGACCGCCTGCCAGTAGGGATGAGAAGGGAGGAAGAGCAGGGAGAGGAGATGAAGAGCAGACTAGAGAGGACCCAAGGCAAACTCATCATGCATCAGGTATACCAGCCCAGTAGAAGGCTCTGCCTAGAACCAGAGGAAGGGAGAGAAGAAAAGACAGAGAACTAACTGCACAGAAAGAAATCCTGGAGTCCGGACCATCCCCTGAAAGCAAAGGCTTTGGATTCAGGGGCAATGGTTGGACTTAGCAGGTCTTCTGGTGGGGCCTGAGGGTGTAACATGAGCTGAAGCCACCAGAAGCCAAGGGCTTTGGCCTTCCCCTCCTGGTGACAGCCCCACCCATACCATCTGGAAGACAGCTGCCAAGCCCACTGGGTTTAGTTCTATGTCTTCACTTGAGGTGGGAAGAAAGGCATGGAGTGACTCTGTTGTGATCGGGGATGGGAAAAAAGGACTCCATGGATTCTGAAGCTAAACAAGCCCACCCCCATCTTATATTGAAGAGAAATGTAAGCACCCAGAAAGAAGAGGTGGCTGGTCCACAGCCACCTAGCCAGTGAAGGTAGCTCAGGGCATCGAGTTAGGTCTGGCCATATGTGGCCCAGGCTTTTCCTGAGACGGTCATGCTACCCAGAGTGCCCTAGAAATCACAGTACCAGTATGATCTTACAGTTACCCTGTCCACATACTGCAAAATTGTCCAGTTATTCTGCAAAACCAATTCAGCACCACCAGGGCAAATGCAGAGGATTAAAGTAAGTGTCCAGAAGGCATAGTATGTCCTTCCCAAGCCTGCAGGGGTGTGAGAGAGGTGTACCCTCATCCTTAGGGCACACAGGACTTGAGCAGCCACTAGGTCATTGCTGTGGGGTTGTTGTGAGAAGGTAGGCCCCTAACCCAGTCTGCTGGTCAGAATCACCTAGGGACAGGTGAACATCTCAGTCAGCATCTCCAGGAAATCACTTAACAAGAAGTTTTCCAGGGGATGTTGATACAGCTGGACCAGCGGGAGTCAGCAGTCTAGACTCGTAGTGATGTTTGTGGACCACCAAGTCTGTTCCGGCTCATCGCTACCATGTACTGGAGTTGTGAGGCTACACATCTTTACAGGGGCAGAAAGCCTCATCTTTCTCCTGAGTTGTGACTGGTTTAGTAGTGACTGGTCCAGACTGGTCTAGAGGCTAATGCTTCCCTTATCACCACCCTCCCCACAAAGAAGTTGGAAGGTGCAAGTCATTAGGGGAAAGCAATACTTTCGTGCTGTAGCAGCAGCGGTGGGGATTGGGCTCACAGTTCTCTGAGCCATGGAGATCTCGTCCTGCTGCAAACAAGGCCCACTCACCATCCTCTCTCCTACGTTCTAGGACTCAGAAGACCAGCCACTGCTACCGCATCACCTACCGACACATGGAGCGAACTCTGTCGCAGCTGGAGGTACAGCGCGTCCACGAGGCTGTGCAGAAGGCCACAGTGCAGGAGTTGGGTGTTGAGGGCAGATTCTGAAGCTGCCGCCCCACCCCGCTTCTCCCGGCCTTGGCCCCCTCGTGGTTGAAAGAATCACTGGAGAGAAAACAATATTGTGCTTGAACAGGGACATCAGACATCATTTGATAAGTGGGTCAGTTTTTGGACTTTCAGATAATAAAGGATCACTCTTGAAAAACTGTTGACATAGCATTTGTCTTGTATTTGGGGAGTGGGGAGAAAGGAGCTATAATGTAAGAGATCCCTCCATTCCTTTTTTAAAGTGCCTTGCCCGTTGGCATGCAGTGTTGTTAATTGGTCCCTGGGATCCATTAAAGTGTAAACACCAGGCATTATTTCTTACCTGACAGGCTCTTCCATCCCCATAATGAGCAAAGACCAACACGAGCAGCAGAAACTCCAGAGAAGGGAAGCTTTTTTGAGTCCAGCCCCCCTTCCTTCCTCCCTTTTCTCTTTCTGTTTTTTTAAAGGGCAGGCTTCAAAGAGACCACTAATGAAATGCCATGGCTCCCCTCAAAAGTTAAGGGAGTCATGTCTCTGAGCCAAAACCAGATATTTATTTGCTTTTCATAAACCAGAGCTGGGGGTCAGACCTCTGATCCAAGAGCGTGGCTTCCTCTGCCTTTTGCCCCACTGGTGAGGCCAAAAAGGACAGCATATGCCCTGGAGTCTTTGAGGCACCAAGCAAGGGCCAGGTCCTTGAACTCCCTCAGAGTTTTGTTTCCTAAAGGGAGGCCTCGCTTCCAGATTCGACCTTTAAGGAAGAATGTGGACTTTGATGTCCCCTCCCCAGTCCAGGCCTTTGTAGTCAGCCTACTCAGTTCATGAGCCAGTTTCTAATCAAATTCCCTGCCTGCTACAGTGCTGGTGATGATGGAGGACCACAAGTGTGGGTTTGATGAGGGGTGGCCATTATTAGCTAGCCAGGCAGGGGCGGAGCAAGCAGCTGCTTTCCAGAGGGAAGGAATATCATTTACCCTGTTATTAATTTGGACTTTTCATGTGGCGTTCCCAGGCATTTCTGGAAGCCAAGTCCCACCTCGAGCCTGCGACCTAACTGCTGTCTGGGGTCCAGGGACCCTCGGGGTACAGTTGCCCAGTGGGAGGGCCTGTGTGCCAGTCAGTACAGCTAGTCAGCAGCATGTGCTTAGCAGACCTTTTCTGACCCAGCCTTGGGCTGCATTTTCAGAGACTCTTCATCACCTAGGGTGTGAGGCATCCATTAATACTCTCTCAGGAAACAAGCTACAGAGATAATGTCTAGTAAACAGTGGTTCTACTTCATGGTCTACAACCTGAGTTTTAATTCAAGCAAACATTTTTCAAAAATGCTGTATACTTGTACTATGATTTATTGATGATTCAATGGTTCAGCTTCCATATAGGAGATATTTTTCAATTTCTGGCCATTGCACCACACCTCATGCACAAACACTACCCATATGTCAGTGGAGGCTTGTATGTTTCTATGATGCTGAACTGGTTTCAGAGGAGCTTCTAGACTAGAACTGACTAGGAATAAAGGCCTGACCATCTATTTCTGAAACAGCCAATGAAAACCATGTGGATCACAATGGTCCAATCCAGAACCAATCACGGGAATGGTACAGGACAGGATAGAGTTTCATTCCATTATGCACAGGGTTGCCATGAGTTGGGAACTGCCTCAACTCAATGGCAGCTACAATAACATATTTGTACCATATTCTGAACGTGGTTGGGTCTAGAATCAACCAACAGTCCATAGGGTTCACTGAAGGCAAGCTTTCCTGAATATTCCTCTCAACGCTCCACGGAAATATAATCTACTATTATCTAAACTTTATGAATGTGGCAAAGGAGGCTTCGAGAAGTCATGGAACTCAACTAAGAGGAGACAGGATTCACATTCATGCCTTCTGCCTCTACGTTAAGAATTTCTACCTAAGCAGAGTTAGATGGTTGTAGGTTCTGCATCTCCCACCTGCTCTTCAGGCCTTTGTTCTGTTTATGTGAGATCTCAGACTGACAGGGGCTTATCCAGACTTCCCATGGAGCTCTGCTCTGGTTGACACTCATGGGCAAAGTGAGTACTTGACTTTTAAATGTGATTCCCACAGAAAAATAAATAATTAAAAAGTGAAGAAATGGACCATTGAATCCGTAAGATGAAGAACCATGCCACAGCACAAGGAACGTACAGTTTTCATAGAAAGCTAGCAGGGAGTGGTGACAAAGACCTGCACCATCCTGGTAACCCCCTGAGAGCCTTGGGTCCATTCTTTGTAACCCAAGAGTCCTACCAATCCCTACTTCCTGGGCATGGTGGGAGGACTGAAGACGGTGCTGCCTGTTCTCTGTGTGCTGTGCTCGCACACTCCTGGGATCTAACAATCCAGCAATAAGTGATCCCTGCTCTGGTGGTTACTCATTCAGCTTGGAAAAGACCCAGCCAGCACTCAGGAAAGGACCCTCCTCTCCTCTTTCCGGCTCTGCACATGAAGACACTAAAGTCCAGAGGGACAAAATGACCTACCTGAGGACACAGCTGGTTCCTGGAACACTAGCCTAGGGCCTGGGCTTCCAGGACTGGTTTTCATACCCCAATGGGGACTCGGCCAGCTGAATCCAAGCAAGTGTAAGGGTTCTCCAGAACCTTTCATTTGTAAGAGTTAGGAGGATCAGGCCAAGCCCCTCAAAGCTAGGATGGCCCCCTTAAAGATCCCAGCAGCCCTCATACTCTCATCATCTTGTGACTTGGGGAAGGACTGGAAGAAGCACTCCCAGCACTCTCATTCTCTGCTCCTTCAGACCCTCTCATGGGCACAATGTCTTGGGACACATGGTGGCTGAGTGTTTCGCTCCTTTGAAGGACTGTCTGAAAGCCCACGTTCTGGAGTTGAGTAGGAATCCTGGTGGCACAGTGGAGTAAGCCACTCTGCTGGAGAAAGAAAAGACCATCTGAGTGCAAAAGATTGCCAGCCTCAGAAACCCTGTGGAGCAGTTCTGCTAGGCCCCACAGGGGCACTATGACTTTGAGTCAAGTCGATGGCGGTGGAGTTTGGAGCTGAGGACAAAGTAGGCGTCTCCTTCTAGCTCATGGATTGGCTGTCCCAAAGATCAGACCTCTGAAGCCAACCTGCACTGGTGAGTGATGGCTGTCTGAAGCTAAATTCTAGGACCAACTGGAGGGTGGGCGGAGGGCATGGTGGGCCCACAGTCATTGTGCCCGTGCCCACTCACGCCTGCTGTTTTCTCTTCCTGCTGCAGGAGAGTCTCCTAGGCTGACTTCTGCGCTGGAACCAGCCACCTGGCTCACAATAATACAGTGCTCACAGTGCTGGCTGACGGTCGGGCAGTATGAAATAAAACAGGAAACCCTTCAACACTGGAGATTCTTTCATCTCTTTCATATATATGAGAGGAAACAGGTATGGACTCAAAAGAATACATGGAAGCCTCCAAATACCTGCCCAGCTGCCCTCTTCAAAGCTGATCATGAGCCTCACCTGTGGATCATGTCTGTTCCCTTGTAATGAGGTGGGCACCGTGTCATTAGTTACAGTGGTGGTGGGCTGCTGGTGGTTGACGCTCCCAGCATCAGGCTCTGCTGGACATGGCTTGGTCATGTCCAATGTTTGGGTACAGTCTGGGTGCCAGTGGTGGACTGTGCAGGAGATAGACTGGACCAGCCATCAGGGAGTCTCCCCATTCCATCATCATTCTCCTATCATCTCCATTCTTGGACAAAGAAGAAGGTGAGTGTGCTCATGTGCAGCATTGAGGAGCCTCCTGACCCCCTCCTGTGTGTTTACCATTGCCTCCCTGCTCCCAGGGCCCCGGCTCCCTACTGCCAAGACCATCTGGACCACTGCACAGACAGATGGGCAGAACAGCAGCTAACCACCAGCTACAGGACCCTGAGGAGGAGGAGGAGGAACAAGGCCATGGGCCAGACCGCTCTACACATTCAGATGACTAAAGCGGCCAGAGACTTGTACCTGAAACCACAGCTCCTTTGGGACAGCCAGTCAGGTTCCAGGACAGGGCGAGATTGAGAGGTCAGCGCCAGAGGGACAGAAGCTCCGAAGCTGCACAGTCTTCTTGCCATCGATTTGGCTTCAACTCACAGCGACCCTGCAGAGGGTTTCTAAGGAGATGGGTTTGAATCACCAACCTGTGGTTAGCAGCCCAATACTTATCCTACAGTGCTACACCAGGGCAATCCTTGGAGAGGAGGCTATACCCAGAAAGGGGTGGGCAGGATGGGAAGCCTGGGTTGGACCTCAACAATCAGGCAAAGACTATATTGCCCTGAGCGTTCTGAGTGCCCTCTACGCAGTAATGCCTCATTGCTTTAAAAACCAAGCAAAGGCAGTACCTTGTTAAAGGGCAGGGGCCGCCAACAGCTTCTCAGAGATGAGATCACCTTGGTTTGGTTCTGTTTCTTGCCCCATTTACTGACTGCAATCGTTCCTCTGATCTGGAACAGGGCAGAGATACCTGCCAGGCTATTAGCCCAGCACAAGGGCTGTATGCCTAGCTCTATCCCAAGTAAGCCACTCATACACCAACTCTGAAGTGGAGACAATGCCCCTTTCCTTCCTCCTCTGACTGAGCTCAGAAAGAACTCAGGAAATGATGTGTGTCTTATTTGAGTTTCAGAAAACTTCATAAAGGGAAGCCCCATGATGTGTACTTTGGAGCTAACAGTATGAGACTAGCGGGTGAGGCACTGGGCCTTCCAGTTGACAGGTGTAGCGGTAACATTTGAGGGCCTTTGCCTGAGAGATTGTCCCTGCGGGGCACAAACGGTGGATGGACTCAGCTGCTAACCAAAAGGTTGGAAATTTTCAAGTCCACCCCGAGCCTCCTTCAAAAAAGACCTGGTGCTTTACTTCTGAAAAATCAGCCATTGGAAACCCAATGGAGCCAAGTTCTACTCACACACATGAAGTTGCTGTGAGTCACAGTCAGCTTGATGGCGTCCTACTCTACCCTGTGCTTGTCAGGATAGGAAGACAGTCGAGAACACAAGG